ATGCACTTATGTATTTATGAAGAACTGTAACTCAATCCATGATCATACAGCAATGGAGAATGGCAACCGGCTAATTTTCTCGCGAACTCACTTTTTTTTATTTTTTTTAGGCATATCCCAATACCATTTTTTCAAGACAAAGTACAAGTCCTTTCCCTCAGGTACTTGTCGATACCAATTTCCAATACTTTTTCTTAATTATGCACTTATGTATTTATGAAGAACTGTAACTCAATCCATGATCATACAGCAATGGAGAATGGCAACCGGCTATAGAGGGCCACAAATCTCAGCAATCCATGATTATACAGCAATGGAGAATGGCAACCAGCTATAGAGGGCCACAAATCTCAGCAATCCATGATTATACAGCAATGGAGAATGACAACCTGCTATAGAGGGCCACAAATCTCAGCAATCCATGATTATACAGCAATGGAGAATGACAACCTGCTATAGAGGGCCACAAATCTCAGCAATCCATGAATATACAGCAATGGAGAATGACAACCTGCTATAGAGGGCCACAAATCTCAGCAATCCATGAATATACAGCAATGGAGAATGACAACCTGCTATAGAGGGCCACAAATCTCAGCAATCCATGAATATACAGCAATGGAGAATGACAACCTGCTATAGAGGGCCACAAATCTCAGCAATCCATGATTATACAGCAATGGAGAATAACAACCAGCTATAGAGGGCCACAAATCTCAGCAATCCATGATTATACAGCAATGGAGAATAACAACCAGCTATAGAGGGCCACAAATCTCAGCAATCCATGATTATACAGCAATGGAGAATAACAACCAGCTATAGAGGGCCACAAATCTCAGCAATCCATGAATATACAGCAATGGAGAATAACAACCAGCTATAGAGGGCCACAAATCTCAGCAATCCATGATTATACAGCAATGGAGAATGACAACCTGCTATAAAGGGCCACAAATCTCAGCAATCCATGATTATACAGCAATTATACAGGGCTGTGTGCGGTCTCACCAGGGCTGTTTGCAGGTGTCGGGCTCTGCGGCAATGTGGGGCTGCCCTTTGCTGTGCCTTACTCTGCGGGCGCTGGAAAGGAAGAGGAGGATATGTGGGGCCGGACCGGCACTGTCAAAGACAGCTGCCTGATGACCTCATCAAGGGCGGGAACTCAGGCAGCCGAACTTTTTAAAAAAAATTGAAAGGACCAGTATCAGCCTTTAGTATCGGGGCATCTTCAAAATGCCCTGTATCGCCCCCACCCCCGATACTGATACTAGTAGCGGGACATCCCTAATAAATATAATGTTAATTACAGACTTTGGTAACATCAACCTTTTATTCTATTGACCCCTCACCTTCTTGCCAGCATGTCGCAGTGCCAGCGCAATCTCTGTGGAGATGGTACTCTTGCCGACTCCTCCTTTACCCGACAACACCAGGATGATGTGCCGCACACCAGCAAGATTACTACGGTCTGAAATAAGCAACAACATTTTGATAATATACATCAGAAATTGAATTCTATTATAACCCACTTCTTTCACTGTTCTATAACTCTGCTTTCATTCACACACCTTGGAACACAATGGGATTGGTTTATAAACAATTTGCAGAGCCATTCAGCCCGCAAATCTCTGTGAATGTCTGTTCTGTGCGAATGGAGGCAAAAACAAATGTTCTTCACATAGTTTATTTTCAGAAATGAATAAGTAAATGTGCCGAGCTCCAACAATGATCAGATATAAAGAGTATAAAAAAACAGTGACTCAAACAAATGTCAGTGAAAAAAATCAATCAGGTGTAAAGTCTTTCAATCTTCATAAATCTGCAAAAATGTCCAAATTTAGCAATAGTGATGAATATTCTAGTGCCTTGTAGCTGTTAGCTTGCTTATTGGCGCAGTTCATTTTCTATATTTATTATTAGTTTCTTTTCAGGTTGAATGTAATATTAGAAAAAAACACATTATGGCCACTAGGTGGAGCTGAGGAGCGTGGGAAATAAATTCTTATAACAGGGAAACTTGTTGAGGATTTGATGCCTGTCTATAGTATGTACATAACCTAATCTTGCTGATGAAGGAAACTCAAAAGAATACTCCACCTTTCGGACAGTTTTCCACCCATATTTAGGTCACATTCCGCAGCCCCTCACCGTTAACCTGCACCTGAATTGTGGGGTTCTTCTACACGCTGGCTACTGTGTTCATTTGAATTTGGCTTGGCTGTGTGTGTCTCCATCCTCACTGCGGGATCTGCGAGTGAAAAGACTACAAGTCCTATCTGCCACTGTAGCAGAGAACTTGTAGATCTCAATGGACCACCATTGCAGTGATGTCACCGCACTTGTAGCCCATTCATTCCATAACAGAAGCTCTGCACTGCCATTCAGACCTGAGGCTACAGGAGCCTGAGCACTGCATCTAAAATCCACTGATCGCGGTTGCAATGCTTTGCAGGCTTCAATGCACAAATTAATAAATGTAAATTTTTTTTTTCTTTCATTAGCCACTTGCTGTCCACCCATTGTGAATACACGGGTGGACAGCAACCTCTTCCCAGCGGGTGGACGTGCCTGTACACCATTTTTTTTTTTTTGCTCTTGGGCGGGCGCAAGCAGAATACGTACCGGCTGTCACATACAAGCGTTCGTCAAAGTACCGCAGCGCTAAATACTGAAAAATGGCCGGGACAGGAAGGGGGTTTAACAGCGCGCTCTTCAAGTGGTTAACGTGTGTGTGCTTAAAACTTTAAAAGAAATGGCGGACTGTGCCTTTAAATAAAGTTTAATTTCTCTTTAATAAAACGTTTTTCTTTGCAACAGTGCACAGCGGGCCTACAAGGGGAGAACCGTGGAGGGGACAAGGACAGAGGGATTGGGGCCTACAAGGGGAGAACCGTGGAGGGGACAAGGACAGAGGGATTGGGGCCTACAAGGGGAGAACCGTGGAGGGGACAAGGACAGAGGGATTGGGGCCTACAAGGGGAGAACTGTGGAGGGGACAAGGACAGAGGGGTTGGGGCCTACAAGGGGAGAACTTCGGAGGGGATAAGGACAGTGGGATTGGGGCCTACAAGGGGAGAACTTTGGAGGGGACAAGGACAGAGGGATTGGGGGCCTACAAGGGAAGAACTGTGGAGGGTGTGACGGACCCCCATACTCAGGATGAGTATGTCCGCCGCTGTCTTCTTCCTTGCTCAGGAGATATTGAAACCCACTGATCTGTAGCTCTCAGTTTCCCCAGTCACTGGTTGGGACCGAGTGTAGGGTAAACAAACTCTGATTTATTCAGAAACTGCACAAACTTTTATACAGCAAGTGATGAGATCAGAATATAATCCCATCACATCCACCCTGCCCTCCCCAGACACTCGGTCTGCTCAACACCACAGGGCTTCCCCTGCTAACGAGCTCCAGACAGCCATAGCAGCGGCCTGGCCAGAATTTCATTGTTCTGAGCTCCCTCAGAGAACAATGGGAGATAACGAGGGGGAGGGGTGCTGATAGTCTTTCCATAACCAGGTTACTCAGTATAACGCACTCAAACATAACTCAACACCAATACACATTTAACTTATAAACTCATCACCATGTCGTCACAGAGGGGACAAGGACAGAGGGGTTGGGGCCTACAAGGGGAGAACCGTGGAGGGGACAAGGACAGAGGGATTGGGGCCTACAAGGGGAGAACTGTGGAGGGGACAAGGACAGAGGGGTTGGGGCCTACAAGGGGAGAACCATGGAGGGGACAAGGACAGAGGGGTTGGGGCCTACAAGGGGAGAACCATGGAGGGGACAAGGACAGAGGGGTTGGGGCCTACAAGGGGAGAACCATGGAGGGGGCAAGGACAGAAGGATTGGGGCCTACAAGGGGAGAACCATGGAGGGGGCAAGGACAGAGGGATTGGGGCCTACAAGGGGAGAACCATGGAGGGGACAAGGACAGAGGGGTTGGGGGTCTACAAGAGGGACTGTTCTAGTATGTTCATGCCACTTTGAGGACTTAGAAAGTGGTGGCGTCTTGGATGAGCACAGCAGCCAATGAACCAGCCAACACCTAGAAGGTAACCTGTGTGCAATCATGCCAGGCAAAGTAACAGGTTCACTTGAATGCCCTCTCCCTATCAGCAATTCCACTCAAGCAACAGGAGGACCAGAGTTTCTGTGTTTGAATGGCAATGGCAGCCCCCATAGTCCTAGCATGACAGGTTCAGTTTCATATTTCCAGCAGCTGTTTCATACAGCCAATAGGAAGGAGGACCAGATGTATATTGGGGGTAATTCATAAAACTGGAGCAGACAAAATCTGGATCAGTTGCCCATGGCAACCAATCAGCTTTTCTCTATCACCTACAAAGCTTAACCAAACATAGCAAAGAAGCTGATTGGTTGCCATGGACAACTGCTTCGGTTTTTATGAATTATTTTTCACGATGCTCCAGTCACAGGGCTGTTGACTCACAACCCCCACGTGACATCTCTTGGCCAATCATCACGGGTTTGCTTTAACGATGCCAGCACCTAAATTCCAATTATGACAGGTTCACTTTAAAAACAATAACTCTCAGCATTCCCTGTTAAGTCTGACATGCCATGCTGAGGCTGGTTCCAGTCCAGCCGTAATCCGTAGCCCCTATTATCACTGTATGTGATAACTGACAGCAAACACTCACCACCTTCACTGTCCATGCTGCACAATGACTTCCGCCACTAACAAACCCAGCCAATCAGCAGCAAGCATAATACAACTCACTACCCCCATTGGCTGAGCTCACGGACCGCAGGCGGAAGGTTGCATGAAGGGCGGAGAATCTCTTACGGCCAATCACGTGCCACCCGTGAACGCAATACTGTAAACGTAACACGAAAGGCGTGGCTTTGCTGTAAAAGGGATTGCTGGGGACAACCAATCGGCGTGAGCAGGAGCGCTCACAGACCCGCCTTATTCCCTAGACTTGCACTTCGCATAGCCAATGGCGGTGAGGTGTGATTTGAATGACGTGCGGCCTCGGCCAATGGAGGCGAGAAGGAGGGCCGCTGCTTCCAGTCGGAGGGGCAGAGGGAGTTCAGCGGGTTATTGTTGACGTCTGTGGCAAGGAGGTAGGTGCTGGGGTAACAGAGGGTGTCGGGGAAATTTGGGCTGAGGGGTGTGTGGGGAGGCCAGACATTGGTAAGGGTAAGGAGGGCGGAGGCGCCGGACAGGCCGTATGGTTATAGCTGGGGAGCCTCAGAGATCGGTCACAGGCTGACAGATTTGTTGTCATTGCTGTGTACTAACATAGGAACACACACATGTATGTATGTATGCATATACCTGTGTGTGTGTGTGTATACACACACACACACACACACAATTTTCTGGTAACAAGTGGTTTCCAATACAACAGTCAGGTTCAGTCTGAGCATTCAGAGACTGTTATTGTTATGAATATTCCCATCACCAGGAATCATCGACTTCATTTTCCCAAATTCTCTGACCGTAATTCTGTTCTGTATCCCATTATTTACATAGCGCTCTATTTATAAACATTTTCACGTAGGATTAACACAACCTGTACCCAGGATTCACACATTTCCCTGATGGCAGCCATAGAAAGTCTACAACTTCTACATCTGGTTGCTGTGCCAGATCATGTAGAGAATGCCATTTCTGTTGATGTCGGATAGCGTGCGTGACATTCAGCAAACTCTTTCTTGACAATTGTTTTGGACTAATAGTTCATATACAATATTCTGAGTTACAAATAGCAGGGACTTGGTGGGAGCGGAGTTAGCCTGAGCCCGGGCAAAACTGTGACAGACGCACACCCAACCCTCCTGGATCAATCAGTTGCAGCCAGAAAATTCCCTGCCCCCTTTGTGACATGTAGCTGCGGTGCGGAAATGCCCTGGCTGCTGCTGATAGGGCCGGGAGAGTGTGCGTCAGTCACTGTTTTTTTGCGGTTTCGCGCCCCTTTTAGACGGGCGGCCCAATCAGGTTTGCGTGTCAGTTTTTCACGTGGATCTGATTGGAAGCCCAGTGTTTGTCAATGGTCAGCCGGATCTAAATGGACGTGTGTCTGTTTACATCAGACTCCAGCCAGGTCTGGAAAACCAATCGGAACAGATTTCTGTTTCGGCGGACCTGACCATGACAGATCGGGGGTAATCTGATGTAAATGGATACACGTCTGTTTACATCTGACTCTCCTTAGGCCAACATGTGTCCAGTAGGTTCAGTTTTACGATGGAAGAAAAAACTGGATGGACACGGGTGTCACAACGATGATATCCATTCCAAACTGCTCTGATCAGCGTACACAAGGTCATTCAGATCAGCTCTGTACATTGTGTCTGTGATCTGTGGTGTCCGATGACAGCTCAGATCACAGAAGTTGTAGTACGCAGTGGTCACCTGTGCCTTTTATAAATAAATCCGAGAGATTTTCACTCACTTCCTGTCCCTGTGACAACAGTTTCACCAGACAGGAAGTGAAGGAAAACCTCCAATAGCGACACAGACAGATTTTTTTTTGGGGGTGGCTAGATCCCTCACCATCCTTTAATCTCAGCAGTAAAACTCGACAGGGGTTGTAATCAATCCTCACTCCATCCAAAGCTACAGAGAAAGAAAAAAGTTGGGATAACGCCAACTTCATATTTGTTACATGTTTCCATTCACAGAGCAGAACGTAAAATGACATGAAATAAAAATGATAAAATGAAAGCTTACTTTTTTTTTAGGTGCTCGTTTTTTGGAAATTCCAGGACTGAAAATCCTGCGTAGCCGTTTTGCCACAATTAACCCCGTGTGTACTGTTCTGACAGACTTCATTATCACTTGTAAGCTAGATGAGCCGGGACCATGTGTCCTCACAAAGGATTAGGGATCTCAGTGCTTGTTGGGTTGCATGTTGTATGTTAATGTACTTGCTCACTGCCATCTATTCTAACCTCCTAGAAGCTGCCTGTAGCGTCCTATGTATAATCCTGAACCAAAGAAGCAACTAAAAAGGTAAGACATATTCAAATATCTATATGTAGAGAGGAAGAGAGTGAGAGGCTTGCTGTGTGAGTGGGAACACATCATGATCATATAGTTGGGTTTCTCAAAAATTTGACTGCAAAAGTAGAAATACACTTTAAAGTGGCAATGAACTCAGAAATTAAATCTTACAAATACATTGAAGTCCCTTAACTATGAACATGAATGTATCTTATTTGTGTATCACTCAGCTGTAGATCCTCAAATCATCTCTGAATTGGCGCTGACACTGTCCTTCCTTCTGGAGGGTGACTACGTTTGTTCCCCATGGTCCCTGTGTGTGTTGTAAAGTAGCCATCGCTCTGGCTCGCTCCTGTGATGGACTGCAATCTCCATACAAATGATTAAACTAAACATGAGATTGTAGTCCATCACAGGAGCGAGCTTGGAGCGGTGGCTACTTTACAACACACACAGGGACCATGGGGAACAAACGTAGTCACCCTCCAGAAGGAAGGACAGTGTCAGCGCCAATTCAGAGATGATTTGAGGATCTACAGCCGAGTGATACACAAATAAGATACATTTTTGTTAATAGTTATGGTACTTGAATGTATTTTTAGGATGTAACTCCTGAGTTTGGTGTCACTTTCACCTGATGATCCAAGTGGTAAAAATTGTGCTGCAGTTACAAACTTGGCCACAAGATGGCGATGTGACTCGGATGCTAGATTGTTCTGTGGTCAGAAAATGTAAACATAACATAGTAATCTGTTGCGTACACTGACATAATGGAACTGAACATGTAGCAAAACTTCAGACTTTGTAAAGGTAACTTCTCCTGAAAGTTTTAAAACAGTCAGCAAGCTATTCCATTTCACTTATTTTCCTAAACTGGAAAACGAATGTGCTTTGCTGTATCAGCACCTTTCCAGTGTGGTTATATTTAGATCAGTGTTCATGCATGTCCTCTCTTGTGTTGCCTGTGTTTAGCGCTGGCTTACTATAGTTAAGGGGGCCTTAGTTATGCGGTGCTTTACCTTGTCTGTAGCAGCTCTCAAAATGTCTAGCTTGAAGCATTTTTAAAGATATGCATTCATTATTTGCTAACATCAGAACAGTTCAGGGTCAGTCACCAAATCTATAACACGTGTTTTATAGCCTTGTGAATCGATCTAATGAACTGGTTTATTATAAAACTGCACCACATGAAAACAATACCGTTGCCCATAGCAACCTGTCAGCTATTTTTATTTTGTTTTTTTTCATTATTTCTAAATATTTTTTTAAACAACAACAATATGTTTGTTCTTTGTTTAGAAGGTTACGCATTAAAATAATGACAAGACTAACCTTAAAGCTGAACGCTGGGGAAAATCCTAAGTTACCCTTCCAGTGGGGCTCCCCCCCTCCCTGCCACACACTGCAAGGGTTAAATGCTTATTTTAATTAGGGATGCACTGATACCGGTAATTCCGCTAGCATGATGCCGGCTTCCCGGACAATCAGGAAGCCAGGCAGCGTGTCATTACCCGTTGCCCGGCTTATTGATTGGCTGGGAAGCCTGCTCCATGCTGATTTGGCTGGCTCAATGCTGATTGGCTGGGGAGCAGGCCAATCAGCAAATCAGGAAGCAGGGTGAGGAGCCACTAGCTGCCGCCTGGCTTCCTGATTGGCTGGGAAGCCGGCTCTATGTTCCTTCATGGCACTGCTGGTCAGAGGAAATCTCCCTCTTACTGGAAGTTTTGGTATCGGGGGGGGTAAGTACGAGTACTCCGGTAAAATACTCGTTATCGGCGGATCCCTAGTTTTAATCTTTTAATCCTTACAATGCTCCCACAGTCTTCCTCCTCTTTGTGTGACCAATCCTTGGAAGTCACTTCTCTTCGCTATTTCACCAGTCTCAGTGCTGCTTTTTTAAGTGAGGGCACTGAGGGCCTGCCCATAACGTGGGCTGTCAGAAGAGTGCTAGCTGCTGGGAGAGCGAGGGATAGGGTAAGTAAAACTACTTTTTATAGTACCCTAGATCCTTGGTTCTCAACTGATGGGTCGTGACCCAAAAGTGGGTCGCCACCCCATGTTCAGTGGGTCACGGCACGCTTTCCCCTTTTCTAGGTGAGAGGCTCCTCAGCCTCCCCTAGAGCAGCACTATCAGTTCTCGTGCCAAGCAGCAATTCAAAATATGCTGCCCGGCACCGAGTGTCAGCTTGAGGTGGGGTGGGCTGGGGTTATGGCAGTGAGGGAGCTCCATCCATACGTGCATTGCCTACAGCTCCCTCTCATGTCCTGTAGAGGTGCCTGAACCAGAGTGACGTCACATTCTGGCTCCCGGCACCTCTACGGCGCACGCTAGGGAGCTGTACAAGCAATGCACATATGGATGAAGCTCCATCGCAGCAAAGCAGCCCACACTGGACCCCCCGGCTAAGGTTCCACTCCAGTTCTCATAAGGTAGAAAGACTAAGTGTATATTAAACAAATAAAAATTTTTCGGAGTGTGTATGTGTGTGAGAATATGTCTGTGCTTGTGTGTGTCTGTCAGTGTTTTTGAGGGCATGTTCACACTAGTACAGTGCATTAATCGTACAGTCCCGTTCTGATGTGGTAGGTGTGTTGGATTGCCATTCATTTGAATGGCACCCCAAATGCACCTCTCACCCACAATTTGATCGGCCGCATCGGAACGCGTGGTACCACAATGCCGTGTGTTCCAGTGCGGTGTGACTTGGGTCATGACTTAATGACCAAGGACAAATGTGGGTTACACATGTTGAGAACCACTGCCCTAGATAATAGTCATTCCACCCAGTAGACCGAGGACATCTAGTGGCGGAATAAATTATTGCAGGTCACAGTGCCAGAGAGGTGGTGAGAATTGTACCCAGAGTTGCTTTTTTTTTTTTTTGTTTAAACCCCTGCAAGGGGACTTTTTAATATTGCCTGGAGTTGAGCTTTACCTACCCACCTTTTCCACCTGGTGCTATGTTTGTTTATTTAAAAGCTGCGTATGAAGACTAAGTGAAAATATGTAGTATGCAAATCTAAAGAATAAAACGGGAAACATGCTGTTGAGTTCGGAAAAATTAAAACTATGTTGAAAGTTTAGGAGATTAACTTCAATTTCTGTCAGCAGTGTCACCAGGATAAGAATTCTGGGAAACCTCCAATGGGACTGCCTTGGACTTAAAAAAAACAATTGATTGAAGTAAAGTGCTTGCAGTTGTTATAATGGTCAGCGAGTCTGTGGGCCATCTAATGATGTTTTGTTTGGAATTTTGTAGCATTTATTGTGCAGCATGGCACGTCGCCCACGCAACAGCCGTGCCTGGCGTTTTGTGCTGAGCGGAGTGCGCAGAGACCAGGAAACCCGAGCCCCAGCTCTGCCTGCAGGAGAAGAGACCCGAGGCTATGACTCTGATGGACAGGTATGGCTTGCCTATTAGTAACCCTTCTGTCTGAGGCAAGAAGACTAAATTATTGTACTGTATTATTTAATGCTGAAGTTTAGATAACATATTTTTGGGGGTTATAGAGCACAAGGGACATTACTTATCTCATATAAAGTGTGTCTTATGTGCTGGCTGATGGCTCTTGTAAAAATCACCCCTTCAGTGATGCTGGATCCTTTCACTTTGGTGGACTTCCAACACTGCATGTGTTAACTGTCTTGGCTATAATAGTGAAGGAATCGCACTACTCAACCTCCCCTTCCACTCCTGTCCTCCATTTACAGAATTGCTTGCATTCTTTTCACAAAATGCAGAGCATTCTATGAGAGGCGGAACGGTAAATGAATGACTGGATCCCCTCCTCCACTCACAGAACACTTAGCAGTTTGTGAAAAGAATGTAAGCAATTCTGTGACTGGAGGAGAGGTGTAAAGGGGGAGGTCAAGCAGAGGGATTCCTTCACTGATACAGCTGAGGCAGTTAACAGATGCAGCGCTGGAAGTTCACTATGGTGAATAGGATCCAGCATCACTAAATGGAGGATTTCTACAGGTACCAACAGCAGCAGGTAGGATATACATCATTAGAGCTAAGTTATACCCCTGGTGCTGTATAGGACATTTAAAAAAAAAAACTAAACTTAAACTTTAAAGCAAAACTTTGCCCTAAAAAATTTGTGAGCAAGACGTTTTTGCATTGCAAAAGAGAATTAATAAATGTAAAGTCTTCTTAAAGTGACATTAAACCCTCAGATTTTTTAACATAAAACAATACTGTAATGTGCGCCTTACTGGAATCCATGGTTGTTTCCCTTCTCTTTGCTGCTCTTTCTTTTAACCCCTTCATGACTGAGGCCCTTTTTTAATTTTTTGCACCCATGTTATATTCCACATTTTAGGCCTGAAAATGACGTAAAAACATTACACGCTGCCATTGCTTCCTTAATGGGACTTCCAGTATCGGTATTCGGTCTCGGCGAGTACGGAAAAAGAAATATCGGTACTCGATACCGAAATACCGGTATCCGTGCATCCTTATAAGAAACTGTAGAAAATGTTTTGCTCAGACTACAGTTCTTTAAGTGTATGTCTCAGCATAGTTTTGTCAGTAAGGCCCATGTCATACTACTGATTTTGCTGTGAGTCCTAACTATCTCCTAGTGTCCTTTGTCACTTTAACATCAATACTCCTATTGATTCCTTGTCTTTGTCTTTCACAGCACAGTAACAGCGACTCAGAGGTTGAGCTGCTGCATTTGCCGGCCTCCATTCCCAGCGCCGTGCCTGTGACGGGCGAGTCATATTGTAGTTGTGACAGCCAGAAAGATGCCTATTGCTCCAGCCTGTACGCCTTCCACCAAATCAAGAGCTGCCAGTGTGGAGAGGAAGATGACTGTAAGGCCTAGCAATGACTATTGGCATTTAAAGCAGATGGTTGCTTTTTGCTCACTTTATGCTTTCCGTTCTCATTCTAATCTCTTGCAGACTTTGACTGGGTGTGGGATGATGGGAGTAAATCCACAGCGACGGTGCTGAGCTGCGACAATCGCAAAGTGAGCTTCCACATGGAGTACAGCTGCGGTACAGCTGCCATTCGGGGCACTAAGATGCTTGGTGAGGGACAGCATTTTTGGGAGATTAAGATGACGTCACCAGTGTATGGAACAGACATGGTATGTTCCTGTCATTAAATGATACAAAGATCTCTATATAGTTGAATCAAGTTTATTTAGAAGCACATAAAGGACAAAACCTGAGTAGTATATGCAATGTTTAATCAAATAAAGTATACAAAGGATCTGGGTGTATAAAATCTCAAACAGACAGATGTCATAAGGGTATGATGCCCAACTCTGGCGAGTAAGATACTTGCGGAACAACAGAGAACATTATCAAACAGCATTGCACATGTAAGAAAAGAGAGATACATAGATCTTTAGAGAAGTGTCTGCATAGTGCTCAGGGAATTCTTTATGTTGGGTTTAATGTTTATACATCAAACAAAGACTGTGTGGGGCAGTAGACACAATCCAAAGGTTGAGCAGAATGGTTAGAAGGGGAGATAAGGGGATAGTTACTGACTTTCCAACAAGAGTTATAGAAGAACTCTGAGGAAACATTTTATTAACCCTTGCAGTGAAGCTATTTCTCTTTTCAAAAAGAAAATGACCTGGGTAAAGGGAATACTTCCAAATGCTTTTTGCTCTCCAGAGGCAACAAGAGCTAAAAATATCATCTAAAGACGGCAGTTGACAACACTCGTAATTCAGATATATGTGCCAGGCCTTGGCATCTATAAGTGTAAAAGACCTAAGCAGCTGCATCTAGCCAGAAGGATATGTGTGTTCCACTGCATTGTTTTCCTTTGTACGAGAGATACCCAGCAATACATGCTACTTGCTATCCTTTTCATGTTTTCAGTGTACTAATATTTGTTTTTCTATTGTGTTCAGATGGTGGGCATTGGAACATCAGATGTAAATCTGGACAAATACCGTCACACATTTTGCAGCCTTCTAGGGAAAGATGCAGAGAGTTGGGGGTTATCATACACGGGTAAGACTGATGTAGATAGTCCTTCCTGATTGCTTGCTGGTGGTACCTGCAATGATATCCTGGCATCAGGACTTTCCAGTAGCTGGGCTTTTTGTCCTAGTGTGCCAGATTTGTATGTACTGTTTTCAGATGTTACACCTGTAGTGTAAACCAGCAGCAAGGACCTCTTATGGATCTTGGAATAAAAGCAGCTTGATAAAGCAATGCATGCTTATTCCTGACTGGTAAGTACCTTTGGTATGAGAAGATGTCTTGCTGCACTCCTTACCGGCAATGATAACCTGCAAGATGCAGGCGGGTGCTCGTAGTGACCTCGGATAGCGCTGTGATATTCATGTCATTTTGAAAGGATGTCACCAGCACACCATAATCCTTCGTGTGATCAGCAAAAGTAAACTTATTAATAAACAATAGCCATTCAAATGCAAGCATTTTTGGGGACCGAACAGGGTCCCCTTCATCAAGCTCAGAATGACGACCCTGATGAAGGGGACCCTGTGCAGCCTCAAAAGCGCTTGCATTTGAATGGCAATTGTTTATTAATAAATTGACTTTTGCTGATTGTACAAAGGATTATGGTGTGCTGGTGACATCCTTTGGTATGTCAGTGTAAACCTCTCTGATGCTTTCAGGGTGCCAAAATGGATTATCCATTATGCAGAATAAACAAACAATATGGGGAACCCAGCTGCAAAAGAATCACCCCCTTGTTTTGGAAGGGGCAGGGACACAAACTACTGCAGAAGAATTGTGCACTGGAATCTATAAATATATTAAAACAATAGATAAAGGGTATCTAAACCCGAGAAGAAAAATGTCAATTATTGCAGGTTACCAGTTCTTAGATGTGGTGGCTGCATTAGTTTTTTCTTTTTCAGCATTCTTACCTTTTATTTTCACCTGGTGATCTTGCCAGTAACACTCTTCTTCTTCCTGGGTGGCTGTGATCACTCTTCCACTGTATTTGTAGTGGTAGCCATGGTTGTTACCCAGACTGCCCTTCAAATATGTCTGCTTTTGTTCAACTCCATTACATGCAGTTCTGTGGGATTAGAAGTTTACAGAAGCAAGATAAAATTGTTTTTTTTTCCATTTGTTTAGCTTCCTGTAAATGACAAGAATTTCTTTCAAGATCATCAGATATTTTCAGTACTTGCTGAAAATGTTCTTAGCCTGAAAAAGGAAAATGAATGCAGCCCCCACATCTAAGTACTGATGAGCTGCAATATATTACATTTGTGTTCTTGGATTTAGTTTCACTTCAGTTAAAGAGATACTCTAGCTTTGCCTATTGAGATTAAGGTAAAAGTATCTATGTGCAGATGCCTCCCCTCCTGACCAAGGTATCCTCACCTTGCCTTATGTTCCTTCGTTGCTCCTTCCTCTGTTGTAGTCTGCACTAAAATCAGCAGTGTCAGTGACCGGGGGACCAGACATATTGCGCCCTAAGTCTTTTTGCAGTGCTCGGGCCTTGCATTTGGCTAGTGGACGCAAGCTCTGTCACAGGGGAAGATGTCACATGCTCCCTCATACCCAGAAGCTGTGGGAATTGATGGAGGCAGGAACAGGGGTAAGGGGAGTTTAACCTGGTGGGGGGCCTTTTGCAGAGACAAAACTTGGAGCTGTCACTCAAGTGATACTCTATAATTTTCCCCTTTTGCTGCTCCCATAGCAGTTTAATAAAAAGTTATGTGGGGAGGTGAGGGTCGGAGATGCTGGTTCAGCACAGACAGACACTATTTTACACCAACTGAGAAGAAGAGAGGGCAGTGATATGCAAGGAGGGAGCTATGTTAGGGACTACTGTCCCAGTTTAGTTAAAGGTCAAAGACAAATTGCAAGTGAAAAAATATTAATGGAAAGAAAAAACTGCAAATCTTTAAAATACTTGATTTTTTTTTTGTGCTTTTACCTGTATTTGTTTTTAGTTTCTGACAATGCCTCCTTAAAGTGAAAACCTGGCACACAGGACTGAGGTGATCTAATGCTTTCTGGTGATGGGACCAGAATTTTCCGAGCTGTGTTTGACTGTAGTGATTGGAATAGATCGAATCCCGCTAAATGCTCTCACTGAAAACTATGTTCTTTTGTCTCTCAGGATTACTTCAGCACAAGGGTGATAAAAACAACTTCTCCTCACGCTTTGGTCAGGGATCAATCATTGGCGTGCACCTGGACACATGGCATGGTGTGCTGACCTTCTACAAGAACCGCAAATGCATCGGTGGGAATATATAAATATATATGTTCTTGTTTTATTTTTGTCCAGAGTAAAAAAAATTGTAAACTTCTTTTTAATTAAAATTTTTTAAGTAAGATCAAGAAGAACTCCGGGAATTTTTTAAAAATGAACCCTTGCAGTGAGGCTACTCCCGCACTGCAAGGGTTAAGTGCTCGTTTGCGTCTAGGTGCTAAAATAACAAAGATATACTCACTGGAAGCTCTGAGCCGGCCAGCTGTCACAGCACTCCCTCCAGCCAGTCTCCCCCTCCCTGCAGGATTGCAATCTTCCTTATGTCTATACACAGTGTATAGACGTTGATGATTTACGGGACCTTACCCAACCAGCAGGTGGAGCTGTAGGCTCCTTTTTATGTCTGCCTGCATAGCCTTAGTCTGCATAGCATCGCCCAATACACCTTGGTGTAAGTTTAATAAACTGTGAAAGAGTGTAATAAGCAGTGAGAAGGCTTTTCTCACCTTAGCAAAGTGAAAAGTCTAGAAAGTGGTGTTTAATAACCCGTGATAAGTCAGGTAGGAACTGAAATATCTCACCTCTTCTCATCCTGGTGATAAGTACACCGAAAGTAATGGGAATGTACTTGTTTAATAAAGGGAGAAAAGTAGAGAACAGCTTTATCCCTGGATAAGTATTGTGAAAAGTGCCCTTGATTTAGCACCCTGTCAGACCTTGTGATACATATGTACATGATACATATGTACATATATTATATAATTAAATATATGATATACTAAATAATATGTTTAATTACTTATTTTATTAATTCATAATAATAAAAAAATGTATCATTAATCAAATATTAATTTGATTATTAATTAGTAATGAAATAAATAACTAATATGTATTTAATGCAATCATTATTTTATGTAATAATTACATAAATCTGTCTTAATGCCACCCTTCCCTCATGAGAGTGACAGTTTCAAGTCCCCTCACTGTATCTGTGTAGTGTGAGGTAAAGTTCCCTAAGGTCATGTGACCTTAGGGCTTGTTGTTGAAGGCTCAGTCTCCCTCAGAAACAGGCCCACCAAATTAAGCTTGAAGGATGTCTGGGGAGCATGTTTTACAGGCAGATGGAGTGAACATTGCACTCCACACATAACAGTCTGTAACACGATTTCGCCACCATGGTCCACCGTTTATAATGCATTAATAAATGCTGCTGGTGTGTTTGCACACACACAGTTAATGGTGAAATAACTGTTGCACTTTGCTATAGAGGTGCTTTTTAATATTGTTATTGGGTGGATTGGCAGAGTAAACTATGATCCTGTCAGGAGGATTGTGGATTATCACAAAGGATGTCATTGTGCAGCTCAGAATACATTCCCCCCATTGCTTTCTCTACTGATCACCGTGACGACTTATCTCAGCCTTTCACAGCTGTTTCGTGTGATAAGTTTTCTTTTCGCAGGTTATTAAACAGCCTCTGTGCAGCCGAGAAAAACAAAGAGATCTGCTGAGTAAAGTTAACTCGTGATAAAGCTAGTTTTATCACGGTTTATTAAACGTACACCCTTGTCTGCCTCACTCACAGCTCCATCTTCCTCCATAGCTGCCGCTGAAATCAGCAATGCAAAGGACTCGGGGGAGCAGTGTGACTCCCGTGGTGGTGTTGCAGTGCTTGAGGCTAGCGATTGGCTGCTAGGATGACCTTTGCAGAGACACTGTGGGGGGATTTATCAAAACTGGGGCAGACAAAAACTGGAGCGGCTGGGCATAGCAACCAATCGGCTTCTCTTTTCAGTTTGTTCAGTTAAGATTTGAAAATGAAAGAGAGAAGCTGATTGGTTGCCATGCACAGCTACTCCAGTTTTCGTCTGCTCCAGTTTTGATAAATTCCCCTCTGTGACTTTGCCCCTGCATGGGCAAGGTGACAGTGTCTCTCTAAAGAGTATTGCCTGCCATTTCCAAATAAGTACTCTCCTGCGTTTAGCTGAATAGATTCATAAAATAGATAACAGGTTATATTTTTATGAAGCAATCTTTCTAATATACATCTTCTGTCTACCAGGCGTTGCAGCGACACAGTTGAGGAACAAGAAGCTGTTTCCGATGGTCTGCTCCACAGCCGCTAAAAGCAGCATGAAGGTAATTCGCTCGTGCTGCTGCCGCACGTCCCTCCAGTACCTTTGCTGTGCCCGCATCCGCCAGCTGCTGCCCGACAACGTAGACTCTCTGGAAGCCTTGCCCCTCCCTCCCGGGCTCAAACAAGTCCTGAGCAACAAATTGGGCTGGGTCCTGCAGATGGGTGTCAACCCTAGCCGACAGCGCAAAAGCGACAACGCGGCCAGCACCTCCTGCGGAAGTGACTCTGACAGCAGCTGCCCACCACAGCCAAAGGACTGTCAGCGAAAGCGCTGCCGCAGGATTTAACGGGTGGTGGAGGGAAGGGTGCAGCCTGGAGCCCTTTTATCACTATCTGCTATAACATCCACTGTGAACTCTTAAAAGGATCAAGAAAGGAGACCTCTTCTGGCAATGAAAAGGAAAATTTGACCTTAAGAGACCAGGGCGATTAGGAGATGCGTACTGATCATCTTATTATCTTATGACCATTACATTTAAGAAAAAGGATGTTGGTGCTGGAGACTGCTAGGTTCTACGTAGGCCTGCTTTTGGTTTGGTACAGTTTAGACCTTCAGCCTTTTGTGGGGCAAATGGTTTTAACACTTGACCTTTTAAGTGACGATCATGTCCACAGCATTATGCGTTATGGGCTTCTAAAAGATTCAGATCCCTATATGTTAATTAGTCTTACCAGCACTTTAACCGCATCTGGCAGTTTATTCTTAACATGGATGCAATTAAGCGTCAACTTTCACCTTCACTCAACTGAGCTGGACCAGAACAGCAAATGAAAGTCCCACAACTGTACAACTGGGACTAGTGTGATGTTTTGGAGAGTTGTTTTCGTGGCCTTTACTAGCAAGGGCTAAGACAATGGTTAACCAGCTACCCAGAACCCCCTTTTGTAATGGTGTTCATTATATGACATCAAAGGCTCTCTCTGCGCTCTGCTCAGTGGCTGGTCTGGAGAGGGAAGAGTTAATTGATGACTTACAGTACCATGAGCTACATCTGCACATCTGGATCAATCATTGCAATTCTTCTCCAACGGTCGAGGCAAAAAAAATCTACATACTGTTTCTACGCAACGTTTATGGCAACTGTTTGCGCTCCGCAAATATCAAACTTGCACATAGAGTTGTCATTTTAGTCATCAACAAACGCCTATAGGTATCTACAGAGGACTTGATCAGATTTAGCAATGATTCAGTTTGCTTATTATGTCACTGCTGATTTACTATGTGGATTTCTTATGTAGGATGAAAGATGCAGAATGAAATATAGCATTAATATCATGTATGGTGTTAAAGAATAAGTGCGCAGTTGTGGGAAGAATAAAAAAACAAACAATTCTGTTCCTCTTCATAGCTGATGTGTGCCAGTGTCATCAGTCCTACCATTTTCTGAACATTTGCCTCATCTGAAAGAGTGTATACGTGGAAAGGTACTGTTGGGGAAGGTGGAAAGAAGGGGTGGACTGTACTATGTATTGTATGGAAGAAGGCATCCCCCGCATCCCTTTAAATGTCCATGCTCCCCTACTGATCCATGACAGTGTGCCCGGCATTAACCTAAGCAGCATGCACATAGGGGGATCCTAGGATGAATTGTTTGAAATCAGTATACAGAGATCCTATTATGAAAAGAGGACTATGCAGAAGAAAGGTGAACAGATACAAGGTATTTGCTGAATTCCTGGTTGTAACTGAATATATTAAAGCGTATCTAAACCCAAAAGGAAAACTGAAATATATTGCAGCTTACCAGTTCTTAGATGTGGCGGCCGTATTCATTATCTTTAGGGATTCACCGATACCGGTATTATGGTATCAAGTATGTGAAGCAGTGAAGATGTCCCCATGCTTCTTGTCATTAGGTGACGAGAAAGCATGGAGCCGGCTCTCTGGCCAATCAGGAAGCCAGGCGCATCATTACACGCTGCTTGGCTTCCTGATTGGCCGGGAAGCCGGCTCCATGCTCTCTGGTCACAAGTAACGAGGGAGCATGGAGCTGGCTTCCCAGCCAATCGGGAAGCCGAGCAGTGTGAAATGCCCGGCTTCCTGATACCAGAAGTATCGGGCTAGGCATCAGTGCATTTGGGTGAGTACGAGTACTCGCCTACCGTGTTTCCCCGAAAATAAGACACTGTTTTTTGGCCCACAAAAACACACTAGGTCTTATTTTCAGGGGATGTCTTTTTTTTTTTTTTTAATGTGCAACAAAATGTACAACACTCCAAAGTTATCTGGTTTCACTCCGTCACAGTACCGGACAGCTGTACCAGCTATGCGGACATCCGACAGTGGACAGCCAGGTAAAGTACGGTACCATTTACCGGTACACATTACAGTACGGTACCATTACATTAAGCAGTGCCTTTGGGGGACAGCAGTTGGTGAAGTATGGTACTGGAGTGCTCCCTGTCACTGCGCTGTCTGGAGAGAGTCCCCTGTCATCCCCTTAATACAGTATGTCCCTGCAGGCTGATACCATCTCTCCTGCAAGTTCCCCCTCACATGCTACCACCAAACTAGGTCTTATTTTCGGGGTAGGTCTTATATTACAGGATTCTTGAGAAATAGTGCTAGGTCTTTCGGGGTAGGTCTTATTTTCGGGGAAACGGTATAGACTCGGCATCGGCACCAATATTAGTATTGGTATCCGTGCATCCCTAATTTTCTTTTCTCTGTTTTTTTTTTCTTTTCTTTTCACCTGGTAATCCTGCAAATAAGAACCTTTCCCTCCCTCCCTCCATTTCTACACTAATTTCCCCACTTTATCTATGGGGGCAGCCACGCTGCTCAGACAGGCTGGACGTCAAACATGTGTGCCCTTGTTTAACTCCATTACATAGCGAGCTTATGGGACTTGTAGTTTACACAATAAGGATACAGTTCTTCTAAGCTCACAGGAAGTGACAAGGACACAATATTTCCAGGAAGATCAGTGGCCAGTTTTTGTACTTGCTGAAAATGTTCTTCACCTGAGAAAAGAAAACTAAATCAGCCACCACATCTAAGGACTGGTAAGCTGCAATATGTTACATTTTAGTTTTTGGGTCTAGATACACTTTAGATAATATCTGTCTGGACAACAATAAGGGAGCTGTGGTTGTGAACTTGTTTTTTAGAGTTACATAGTCATCCTTAGCTCTCCTTCACTATTCTGTAGGTCACTGACCCAGAACAAACATATCCATGTTAGACGCCCCTAACATTTGCATGTTGCAGGTCATTGATTGAGTAGTGAAGGAAGGATATGGAGGACGACTCCACCTCGTGTGGCTTTAAAATCAAGTCTGACATTTCAGCTCCCCATTTTTCTGTCCTGACAGGCATTAAAGGGAGCGAAGGTGCTGAAAGTGCACTTATTCTTTAACATCCCATCTGCTTGGTGATCATTTATATAAATACTCCTGTTTAACCCTATCAGAATTTGTGTATTTGACTTGCACTCCATCGCTGATTTGCTCGGATTCCTACTCTTGGTCATCTAATTCAGTGCTTCTTAAAGTGTGGGTCGTGACCCCATATGGTGTCCCGCAAGTGAACAGGAGGAGTCACGATCTGAATCCCCGGCCAGGACCGCCATCAAGGGGGTATGGCCGGGGAGGCCTGGGCTCCAAACAAGATTTTTTTGTTTTCGTTTAATGTGCAGTGTAGTGTCGTTTTTAAGGTCGTGCCCCCCCATGCACTTGTTACCTACCTGAGCATGTGCACGCAGGAAGGTTGTTTTTTACATTGACGGAGCTTTCTTTAACCCAGCAGCAGTGGAGCATTTTTTCCTTTTCTTTTTTTACACTTAACTTGATTGCTATCACATAAGGGGATAAAAAGTCCCCTATGTGATAGCTAGAAAACAATGACAGGTCCTCTTTATGAAGACATCAGGGGTCTCTAAGACCCCTAATGTCACCTAGGGACGCCCAAAGAAACTGTGGAAGCAGAGAAATTACAGCTAAAGGCGGAAGTGATATAATATACATCGCTTCCGCCTTTAGAGAGAGAAGGAGGAGAGATCAGCGGTGGGGGGAAATGCTGATCTCTCCTCCTTCTCAGTACGGGTAGTCGCTGTGCCAGTCCTGGGCTCGCAGGAGGTACAGCAGAGCCTGGGATAACCGGCAGCGACTGGGGAGGGGGAGCACCTGCGTTGCACGGTAATACAAGTGATCCGCCGCCTGTGGAGCCTGCCGTTCGCCAACTGGGAAGTAAATCACATAAATGTAAATCTGCCCGTAATTTTACAATGGGCAGACGGCAAGGGGTTAAAACGTACACCACAATGAGCCGTACAATAGGCGACATGTAGAAGAGATCTGACATTCTGGGGTCTGTTTAAAATACTTGTTATATTTACATTCATGAAATTCAAATTTTTTATGGGGAAATTAACATGAGGTGTTTCAGTCCCCAATTTCTTTCATTTTCAAAGTTTAACTGAGCAAACTGAAGAGAGAAGCTGATTGGTTGATTGTGGGCAACGGCTCCAGATTCTGTCTGCTCTAGTTTTGATACATTCCCTCCATTGTGTCATCATTGCTCCCATTCCTTTAAAGAAATGATCAATCCTTGTGGTGGGACTGCCCCCACACTGCAGGGGTTAACTGCTAATTTTTCTCTGGGTTAAATAAAAAAAAAAGTTCTACTTATCAAACTGTGGAGCCGTACTTTGGTTTGTACTTTCTAGGGATGCACCAATACAGATACTAGTATCGGTATCGGTGCCGAGTATATGGGTGAGTACTCATACTCGGCCAAATGCTCCGATACTTAGCCCGATACTTCCAGTATCAGGAAGCCGGGCAGCACGTCACTACACGCTTCCTGATTGGCCGGGGAATGACGCGCTGCCCGGCTTCCTGATTGGTCATAAGCCGGCCAATCAGGAAGCCAGGCGCCGTGTAATGAGGCGGCGCCCGGCTTTCTGATTTGGTCGGGAAGCAGCATTCATTCTCCCTCGTCACCTCATGACGAGGGAGCATGGAGCCAGCTTCCCGGCCAATCAGTAAGCCGGGCATTGCGTCATTACACAGTGCCCGGCTTCCTGATTGGCCAGAAAGCCGGCTCCATGCTTTCTTGTCACCTAGTGCTAGTTGGGAAGCCGGGTGGTGAGTCTTTACACGCAGCCTGGCTTGCTGAATGGGACTTCCTGTACTCAGTATTATGTATCGGCGAGTACCGAAAAAAGATATCGGTACTCGATACTGAAATATCGGTATGGGTGCACCCCTAGTACTTACCTAAAATTGTAATTGGAGTGTTTCAGGTATATAATGTATTCACGTAAAGCAATATAATATTTCCCCACTAGGTGGCAGTAAGTGTCTGCTATTATTACAGCAGAAATAAAATGCAAATGACAAATGCCAGGAGGGGGAGCTTCTTTCTGGTAGAAAAGACTTTCAATTTTATTTTCTGCCAAAAGCGAGGTTTTTTTTTCAAAGAACAACTGTTGAAGATTGTATTAACCCTTGCAGTACTGCTGTCTTTGCACTGCAA